TTATGAAACTTGATTCTATTATATTTCTCTCAACCATTCACCTGCCTGATGCAACTTTCTCGGCCTTTTGAAAATTAGTTGGGTGGCTAAAATCTCTCACATGAATAAACAGAGCATTAGACTCTTGTTCATTTGTAATGCTATATTTATGCTTTTGTAATCAAGACTTTTCCCAGTTTGACGGCTTTGTCTACAAGATTCCCTGTAAAAAAAAGTGACAAAGTTCATTACTGTCAAACTGGGAAGAGTCTTGAACTAAAATTATAACAACATAAATATAGCATTAGAACTAGACAGGAGTCTAATGCTATATTTTAACCATTCTTTTGGTTATCAGTAGGCCGAGAAAGTTGTATCAAGTAGATCCATAGAAATTAGTTTTGAAATTAATGAATATTGTTGTAGGATGTTACAAAATGAATTCATTTATAATTGAAAAAATTTGAGAAGAATTAAAGACATATTTCATATATATTATATATATATATAAAATATATATATATATATATATATATATATATATATAAAATATATATATATATATATATATATATATATATATATGTATTTTATGTATGTAATATGCAATAAGATCACAGTAAACAGGTGATTTCAGAATATGCAAAACAACAACTGTGAAAGAATAGGAAAATTCCAAGCAAGCGATTTCGTGACTACTCACATTATCAAGGAACTATGAAAGTAAAGCATCCAAGGAAGGTATATAAGGGGTCTGGCCAACACCTCACTATCAGAAATACTTTTGCTAGAAATACTTTTTACAATCCAAAAAGGGACAACCAGCCTTATTCAACTAAAAATATGTTGGTTCTCCCGTACCATGAAAACTTGGTTGATATGCCTTCTCTTCTTAAGACTTTTAATATTAAAGTTGTATTCAAAAATCTTGATACAGTAAAAAAAACTTTTGATAAAGAATTCACCCCAAAATACTGATGGATGTGTCTATAAGATTCCTTGTAAAATTTGCGATAAAGTTTATTACGGTCAAACTGGTAAAAATCTCGAACTAAGATTAAAACAACATAAATATAGTATTAGAACTGGACAAGATTCCAATGCTCTATTTATTCATGGAAGAGATTTTAACCATCCAATTGATTTTCAAAAAGTTGAGAAAGTAGTATCAAGCAAGTCCATGGTCGACAGGAATATAATTGAATCTTGTTTCATAAAAAGCAGTTTTAACAATAATATGAATATTTCCTTTGGTTTATATAAATTAGATCCATTTATAATTAATAGAATTTGGGAAGAATTTAATAATACATTGGACAAATAATAATTTTTAAAATTTTCTCGGGAAGAATAGTTTGTTGGTGGGTTGTGCAAAGGACCTGTCCAATTGGGCCGGCGCACGTCAGGTGTTTAACTGTTGTACTGTTGTGGGATCTGATAGTGAGGTGTTGGCCAGACCCCTTATATACCTTCCTTGGATGCTTTACTTTCATAGTTCCTTGATAATGTGAGTAGTCACGAAAGTGCTTGGAATTTCTCTATTCTTTCACAGTGGTTGTTTTGCATATGTGCATATATATATATATATATATATATATATATATATATGTGTGTGTGTGTGTGGTGTGTGATGTGTGTGTGTGTGTGTTTGCATAGACAGTTGACGTTACAGCCTATCTTAGGGCTAAAAAAAATTCGTGATTGGTAGTGAACAGGTGAAAAGAAGCCTTAAATGTTACCAGTGCTGTCGATACGCTTTAAATCTAAAACATTAACCATGTCAGTCAATTAATACCAAAGGAAGAGAGCGTCTATCCGTTCATTGTATTCAATGTAAATTTGATGATGGGTAACCAACGTCTTAGCTATACTTTGTATTTATATAAAGGTAATTACTCACCCAAACACACGCATATGCAAATTCTCATATATACACACTCACTGATGATGAGTGTTGATATTATTCTCACCCACACTAAGATAATTAAATAAGGTCTGACAATCGGTCTGGTGTAGTCACAGACAAATTCTCGAGTTCTGATTGAACCCACACGTCATGCTAGATTTCTGAGTGGGTTAAAAGGTGCGTGGATAGGTAGTCTATATTAGATCAGGAGCATCTCACAAAAGCTTGAACGTTTGTGTTAGTTGTTAGACTTCCAGTGACAATTGTCCTTGTCACCTTCGTAATTTGTCGATTAGACTGGAAATAACCGAGGTTTAAGTGGTAATAAAGTGGGTGTTGAAACTTCGTAGAAATAAGAAAAAGAAGCGGACTTGCTTTTATAGAGTACGTTAAAAACATACATTATGAAACAGACGTCACAAAACATTCGTTATAAAGCGTACATTAGAGAGCATACATTAGGAAATCTACGTACAAAACGCAAGTGCAAAATAGTTGGTTATAATAAACGTTATAAAAAGTAGCTTACAAACAGGATAAAAAACCCATGTTAAAAAAATACATTGTAAAGCATTGGAAAACGTGTGTGTGTGTGTATGCGTGTGTGTGCGTGTGTGTGTGTGTGTGTACTCACCTAGTATGTGTGTGTGTGTGTGTGTGTGTGTGTGTGTACAAACAGAAATTGATATAGAGAATGCGTGGAAAAGCCTGGTGCAGAAATAAAAGTTCTTAAAGCCCCTTGCAGACGTCGCTGCCTGGGAGTGAAGGTAGGTCTTCATTGTTGTGTGTATGTGTGTGTATGAGAGAGAGAGAGAGAGAGAGAGAGAGAGAGAGAGAGAGAGTATTTCTATCTATCCTTCTGAAGCATCGGATGGCTCTCTTTGAGAACCATCCGATGTGCTCGCTCACTCACTCACCTACTCACTCACACACGCGCGCGCACACCCACACAAACACTCACTCATGAACGTGTTTACAGGAGAAGATTTTTCGCCTAATTCCTAAAGTGAGTGCATGTGGCAGTATATATGTATACGTAGTGTCTCAGTGATTCTAAAGAAGTTGTAGAAGGTGCACCAGAGGTTAGCAGTAGAGTTGTAGATGGTGTACCTGAGGTTACAAGTAGAGTTGTAGATGGTGCACAAGAGGTTACCATTGGGTTGTAAGTGGTGTACCAGAGGTTAGCAGTAGAGTTGTAGATGGTGGGCCAATTACAACTTAGCGAAGCTGAACAATCCATGGAAGTTGGACAGGGCTGAGGACTCTACATCAGTAAGAATCTACTGACAAGGCAAACTATGATAACCAAGAAATATAGAGTCGTATAGAGTCATTTAGAGCCGTATAGAGCCATACAGAGAGCCGTATAGAGAGCATCAGAGGCTTCAGCAGTAAAGACACAGAATGAATTTATTTAAAGATGTCCGGTTTGTAAACAAATAGGAGAGATAATACGAATAATGCATGAGCAAACTAGAATATTGTTTATATAAAACGGTAAACACATTCGGGTCATTCAGCGAAAGGAAAGATGGAGACTCGATCCTCCCTCCGCTAATCTTCCAACAAGGTAGGCTAGATGAAAAAATCATGAATTAACTAGAGAGAATGATAAATTAATGAGAACATGGTAAGAATGTCTGAGTGTACAAGATGTAGAAGTTGTTTAAGAAATGGATGGGGAAATAATAGACCAGTAATTGGCGAAAAGAGCAACAAGTAACTGTGGAAAAACAGATGGAAAAATTAAGAGCATAAACAGTGATTACAAAAACTTGCCAATGGGACAAAACAAATGTTAGAAAAAAAGAAAAGATCTCTGAGAGGATATGATCCAAAAGAGAACATAAGTTTAGTGATATAAAGGGAAATAAATGCATAATAGTAATAGTCAAGAAGCCATTTGGAAACGAAGAGAAAAAAAAGCAGCCTGGGTTTATACAAAGTAACGGAAGAAAATTAAATAACTTTCAGAAAAATATTAAAATATTAATTAAACTGAACATGTCTTTATAGAATAGTACGATTACACAAATCTGAAAAAAAATATCTCTATCCCAATTTTGCCCACGCATCATACAAAAAGCAGTGTGAAAAAGCATAAACTTAAATAAGAAAAGACATTCTTTTAGTTAATATAATAATTGAGATATTATCAGAAAGTAAAAGAATTAAGAAAGCATTTTGAGGAAACGTATTAGCCAAGAAATATTGAACCACAAGTAGAAGACAATATATATATTAATCAACATAAACCAAAATTAACAAGTGAGTTAAGAGAGGTCTTATTCACAAAAATAAAAGAAACTGGATATTGCATGATTAATCAAAATCATCCTAGAGCAAAACTTATAGTTCAACACAGCACTCAAAGAATATCGTATAGTATATTAGTAACACAACCATGTCTTACTAATAAAATTAAAATTCAAGATGCAATGTAGAAAATGAAGAAATTAAAATACAAATGCAAAAATTTGTGATTATTGATACATGTGCTACAACCACTAGAGATGCATGAAGAGGTAAAAATAAAATTAGGATAAATTAAAAGAGGGAATACTATGCATATTAAAATAATTATAAAACCGACCAAAACAAAGCAAGAAAAATATTAGATGGGAATTTTAATTAAAAATATAGACTGGCGTGCATGTGAGGCTGGAACAGAAAATATATGAGTGGCTATGTTCCTATATATAATACTGGCATCATGCATACATCATCACAGAACACTGTGGACACAACTCATATAGAGAAGGTTATACGCCATCCCTAGTACTTGAAAGAAAAAATGGTCTTTGGTACAATCTACATAAAATATAACTTAAAAATCTTCGTATAATAAATATAATGATGCGATAAATTATGAGTAAGATGAAAGAAAATGGAAATACAAAGAAGAAATATTAGCCAATAAAGGAAGAATTTGAAGGTAATTAAAAATTATCAAGAGAAATCAAGAGTGAACTAATATTTCTTGGGACAAAATATAGATTGGAGCTATTACTGATAAAATCCAGAAACACAAACTTTCAAGAAAATAAAATTTGCCGGAACCAAGAACCAAGCTTAATTTTCGAATAAGTATAAGCTATAACATAGAAATTATTACCCAATAAATGTAAACAGCTGGTTTGTTGGTTAACTGGTCTTGAAGCCTATCAACTACACGATGGTCTGCAGGTCACCTGTTTATATTAACCCAAAGGATTAGAAATCTCATATCAACACATGTAATATAATATATAAATATAAAAATAAACTTCAAATATATATATATATATAGAAAAACACAGTACGTAAATATATATATATATATATATATATATATATATATATATAATATATATATATATATATATATATATATATATTATATCGTGCCGAATAGGTAAAGCTTGCGATTTTTGGCTTAAATAGAAACGCTCTTCTTGCCGAATAAGGTAAGCGAAAATTTGTGTATGCAATAATTTCGCAAAATCATTCTGAACCTAATGATAAAAATATATTCCATTGTGTTTGTTAATTATTAAATTACTGTAAACTTATCTAAAATATATTTAGGCGGATTAGGCTAAATTAAATTGCGCTTGTTATGATAAGGTTAGGTAAGCTTTCTAAGTTTTTTTTTAATGTAATTTTTGCATAACATAAATGAAAATTAATTTAAAGTATAAAGAAATTAGAATGACTTAATCTTAAAGTTCTGCTAATTACCAAATTTACCTACTCGCACGACACAAACACACACACGAAAACACAACACACACTACACTAATTTCACACACACACACACATTACACACACAAACGACACCACACACAAACACACACACACACACACAACACACACACACACACACACACACACAAAACACACACACCACACACACACACACACACACACACACACACACACACACAACATACACACACACACACACACACACACACGGACACGGGGCCAGGAGCTCGACTCGACCCGCACTCACTAGTAGTACACACACACACACACACACACACACACACACAACACATACACTATATATATATATATATATATCTATATATTATATATATATAATATTTTATATATATATATTTAATATATTATATATATATTATATAATATATAATATAATAATTTAATATATAAATGTGTGTGTGTATAACTGAATTTTACATTAGAGACTTGTCTTACTGATGCGTCATTTTTAAAATATCAATAAATAATTTGAGAAAACAGGAAAAAAATAGAGTGGCATCCTGCTTTCATATAAGCAATTCGATTTCAGACTGGTCAAAACCCTTGTTAAACTTTTATGATAGAGTTATGGAAATCATACAAGAATGAATTGTATTGGATCACTGCATTTACTTTACTTTATAAAAAGCGTTTGACAGAAACTGCAATATACAGGAGGAAAAAAAAGTATATTGTATAAGAGATTTTGAGTTGGGAAAGGAAAATGATAATTATCGATAATAGGGAGATAATCCCCTTTCAACAAAGCTCATAGTAGGGTTCCATACGGTACTATCCAAGCAATGTTCTTCATATATATATATATATATATATATATATATATATATATATATATAATATATATATATATATATATATATATATATATATATATATATATATATATATATATATATTTATAAAATGAACGAATGATGTGATAAATGGACGGGAGAAGATAATATTGTAAAATTCCATAAAATGGAAATAGGTGAAAACGGAAACAGTTAGATGTAAACTTATGACTGTCTCAAACAAAAGAGAAGGTTATTGCATTGATCTTAAATAAGAGAAATATTAAATAAGTACGCCAGTGAATGATTACTCTGGATATGAGAACACGATGCCGACTGGACGGAGCAAAGGTCGTAAATGCTGGACAAGCTTTTATTACCCCAATGTTTCTCTCCGCGTAGAGCTTTATCATAACTTGATAAAGTTGTGGACAAAGCGAGAAGTTGTCGTAGTGAAAGCCTGTTAAAAATATTAGTCTTTTACTTCTAAGATTTCATTGTAATTATAGTACATGTCATGATAAATTGTCAGGTAAAGAAGAGATGTTCAAGATGTTGTGGAAAAAGACACTTATGTACACCGCTTCGAGACATGTATTAAAGGTAACGTTTCGCCACGAGTGGCTTATTCATTGCTAATGTTCAGGACTGAAGAAGGCATTCTTGGCGAAACGTTTCCTTTAATAATTGTCCTGACCTGTAGTCTGGTGTTTGAGTCTTTTGAAGCAAATATCAAAAAATTGTTTTCTCCTAACTCTTCATCTGGGCCTGATCTCTGGTTTTCTCGGGCCAGGACTGACCGAAACGTCGACTAAAGTTTCTTCTCCAGATTCTGGGTTAGTGTTTATTAAATTAGTATGTCAATAAATAATTATACTTCAGAAGATAGAACCATGCCAGTGAATATAGAGAACAATTTACATATACAGAGTAAAACACCTTGCAGATGTTAAAATGAACAATTACAAGTATTATGCTAAATAATCTACTAATGATTCTCTAAAGAATTAGACGGTATTAAAATGCAAAGTGAAATTGGCCTTGTGATGACAAATGAGCATCAGAAAACATGACAAATAATAGGCAGAGCATTTTTTTGCATATGTTCATTTCTATAAATTGTCGGAAACATACTGAAGAGAATCTCACTTTTCTGTCTAAGCGGTTTCTCACCTTTCATAGACAAGTGTTTATAGAACTTTTAATCCAAGCACCTCCTGTAAATCAACATCTTGCCTTAGGATCACTCTATTTTGACCTATATTTTTTTGTATAGGGTTCAAAGAAAGCTTCGGGTAGGACTGTAGATGCTTAAACACTGATCGAATCGTCATCTAATTAAAACCTGTGTCGGTAGACACTGTCTTGTTTCCTGACTACTACTAACCCACCTACACCGCCACTTCTTATGTTTCAAACACCAACTTATAAAGACCAAGGCAAATGTATCAGAACTAGTTTTTTTTTTTTTTTTTTGGTGGAACAACATATCAAATCATGTAAAGTTAAATCTTTTCAATCTGTCATTCGATAATACCGATAAAAATTTGCCTTCCATATTTACTTTCCAGGCTGTCCATTAAAGATCTGAGATTATAGTTTTGTGGTTTCTTGCGCGATAAATTTTGTGACTGAGTTCGAAGAAATCCTCAGCAATTGTTCTTTTCTCTTTATTTTTCTTTTCAATAGTGCTCGGTGGAGTGTTTAAAGAGCATAAATGTGTATAGACCTTTATAGTACGGGTACTTCTGAAAACTAACCACATAGCAATACTATTTTATGCCTTTCTAGAGCAGTGCTTCCTTGATTTAGGTCATTTAGGAGTAAGGCCACTTCTCACGGGGGATGTTTCGTAACTCCGTGGTTAGTTCCGGGAACGGGGCCACCCAGCGATGTTTTGTTACATCTTTCTAGGGCGTTAATGTCTAAGAAGTAGATCACTTGACTGTGTTTTGTAGCGTCTTGAAGCATGTATTAAACCTGTATTTAAACCTCAGTGATGCTCCGTAGTACCGAAGAGGGAAACAAGGAGCTCGCAACAGACGCTGCATAGGTTTGAATTCTTAAAGTGTCTCTCTTAAGCTCATTACGCAACGAAGCAACTTTTTAATTAACGAGATTAGGAAAACAAGCTGCTGCTAAGCCAATGTAGATCATCCAGCACGAGGAGTTGAGGCTCGATCCTTCGTCTGCCAGTCAAAAAGACAGACCGGCAACCAAAGTGTTCTCTGCTATCTGATCGAGAGTCGCTCAGTGACAGCGGTTCATCATATTTTATGATTAATTAGAACCTAATTAGGTATGCCTGTTCGATAGAGAACACAATATTAATAATAATAATAATAATAATAATAATAATAATAATAATAATAATAATAATAATAATAATAATAATAATAATAATAATTGTTGGCAAACGTTAAACCCATCAGGGTCAGACAGGTCCTGGGTAATAGGATCATTAGGGGGGATAGCGTAGGTCATGAAGGGAATGAGAGGGTAGTTGAAATTCCTTAGATGAAGAGAGCAGCATTTTCTAATCCACTGGGATCAAAAGCAATTTAATACAACTAAGCAGCTTGTATATCTGGTGCTTTGACCAAAACCTCAAATGCCATCAGGAGGTATTTGTTCTGTTTCCTAACGAATTTAGTTTAATCTTGCGTGCTGCTCACGAAAGATCGATAATGACTGAATGACCAACACGAATATAGTGCTTCACACTGAATGCAATCACTCCTTACACTGAATGACCCACACGAATATAGTGCTTCATACTGAATGCAAGGATTCCTTACAATGAATGACCTACACGAATATAGTGCTTAACACTGAATGTAATCACTCCTTGCACTGAATGACTCACACGAATATAGTGCTTCACACTGAATATAATCACTCCTTGCACTGAATGACCCACACGAATATTGTGCTTCACACTGAATGTAATCATTCCTTACAGTGAATGACCCACACGAATATTGTGCTTCACACTGAATGTAATCATTCCTTACAGTGAATGACCCACACGAATATTGTGCTTCACACTGAATGTAATCATTCCTTACAGTGAATGACCCACACGAATGTAATGCTTCACGCCGAATGTAATAAACTAATGATCGGCTTAAATTATAAGTAATCTCAACAGAGGACTCCCAGAAAGAATTCGTCTCTCATCTCTTAAAACTTATGTGATTACACATTACATAAGAAAATCAACAACTGATATCTTAAAGTACATTATCGACATCATTAGAATAATTCTTCGTGATTTAAATATTCTTTCTCTAAATACAACTAAGCTCATCGTTTGAATTTTACAAGACTGAACTCATCACATGAGTTCAGCTTCACTAAACTTATTTATTGCATCACAAAACATTTGAGCTCAACATCACTTAACTCATCATCTGCCCTCAGTACAATTAAACCCATCACCTGTGCACAGCATCAGTAAACCCATCGTTTGAGTTCATCTCACTAAACCCGTCACCTGTGCACAGCATCACTAAACTCATCGTTTGAGTTCAGTTTCACTAAAATCCACTGTATTACACAATTAAACCCTTCGTATGAATTCAGCATAACTAAAACTAATCATCAGAGTTCATCATTACTAAAACTGCCGCTTGAGTTTAACATCACCAAACCCATCGTTTGACTTCAACGTCACTTAAAGTACTCGTCTTGGAGTCGGTACAGATGGCTACTACATCATCTCTGGAACACCACCTCATGTGTATATCACCGCAGGAACCTGACTAATCTCTTAGTCAGAGTTCGAAAGAAATAATGAGTAGACAATAAGTTGACAAAGATATAGGAAACAGCTTAAGTCTATTATAAAAGTTTCTCTCTCAATGGCAGTTTTGTAAAGTCACAATAACGTTATTAAGCGAAATCTGGTTATAACAAATGCTTACACTGTTTTATGTGTCTTTGTCATCAATCATTAATCAATCATTAACAGTCTTATCACCAAGAGATTAAGTTTGTTTTACTGATAACACGAATATAGTAACATGAGTCTGTCATCATATAGCTCAGTATTAGCAATGTTAAAACACTGTTAAGTGTTGTATAAGTGTCTCAATTCTTCAACTTGTCGGTTTTCAAAACCATTCATCACATCTGTCAGACACTGCAACATCATGGGATCTTGGTACAAAGACTTCAACGCTTTCCCAACCTTTGGACGACGACCTACTTACACTAGTGGCAGGTCCCACTGTGATCCCGCTTCCTCCTGCTTGGACTCATCTCACCGCAGTATATAAGCCATCTCTCTGGCCCTGTGCTGCACTTCCTACAAGAGTGATGGACTGAACACATCGATTCCAGGTTGAGGGACTGATTACTTCAAAACTTCTACTCTCTCTTACCCATTTCTACTTTGTATTGGACTGATGAAGCCACTGTGTGGCGAAACGTTTCTTCAATAAAGATTCCCATGTGTTGCATAAGTGTCTCAATTCTTCAACTTGTCGGTTTTCAAAACCATTCATCACAACTGATTGGTACTAAAAAGAAAGTGTATCTTCAATGCTACTGGCAAAAGGTATACTACCAGGTACTTCTAACTTGTAATATTACTAATAATGACCAAAACTTTACTATAGGTGACAGCAGTAAGACAAGAGAGAGAGGAGTGGATAGATTGCGCTTTCTTGGACTGTAAGAAGGCTTTTGACACAGTTCCACACAAGAGATTAGTGCGTAAGCTGGAGGATCAGGCAGGTATAACAGGAAAGGCACTACAATCCATGTATAATCCAGTTCAGATATAACTCTGTGGATCGTTGTTAAGGAGAAAAGTCTTTCATGCATTTTCTGTAAAACTAATTTTTTTTAGTCTGTTATGAATATGATTTCTTTTGATGCCCACTCTCTGTAGATAAGATTTCTAAACGTTTGTGATCCAGCACATCTGGAACATAGTAAAGGATGGTGTGTATTTGAATGTCTTTTTTTTATTATTTTTGGATCATCATGCTATTATTCACTACCAGTCAACTGTTTTAATCTTTCACGTTCTCAAGCTATTATACCTCTCGTATTAAATGCGTATATTTTAGCTCGCGTATCTTGAAATACCATAGAATTTTCTTACCACATTCAGATTTTTTTATTATGTTTTTAATTTAACAGGTCAGTACTTTCGACAATGATGCTCACTGTCTTTCATATAACGTGGGATCCCGTTCAGTGTCTGCAGAAACTTGTGCGTTTAGTCTTAAATACCTGACTTTATCTGTTAGTTTAATTATACAATGATGAAAATAGTATTTAATTTTGCTTTGAAATACAAACTTTGTTTTACTATACTTTCTTGATACCCGAACACTTGCACTCTTTTGGGAACTAATTCTCATTATTACAAACCATTTAAACACAGCATTAAGTACTCCTCGCTTCAGTTTGTTGTTAACTTCTTTTTCTTGTGTGTCGTACCTGCA